AGCACCAAAGACCGTGCCCCGCTCGCAGCAAGGGAGGGTGGCTCCCGCCATGTGCTGTGCAAACTGGACAGCCACGTCACATTCTGCCTGCCCAGCCTCCAGCCATACTGGGAGCAGAGAGGTTTGGGTGTACAGGAACCAAACACCTGGAAACAGTAAGGTTTTTGTGGAATTCTCTTCTCACCACCCCCCACCACCAGCAGCAATAAAAAGAGAGAAACTCCCCTTTGAAAATCTGAACCAAAACTCCCACTGTGGATTACACACTTCCACCCACAGTAGAGGAGGGCACAGGCATTAGCTAACACACCACAGGAAAGTGCATGAGCACACAGCTACACAAACATACTCCAAAGAAATAGGAAGAAGTGAGTACAAGATCGGATGACTACAAATCTAAAAATCTCCAAGAAATAGAAGAAAAACAGAAAATACCTCCCCCAATGGAACATAATAACTCTTCACCAACAACAGATAAAACACGAGATTAGAGGAATCTCAGCAAAAGACAAGTCAGAATATCCATCATAACAAAGCTCAATGAGATGCAAGAGAAAACAGTCAATTCTAGGAGATGAAAAAATCCTTCCGTGACTTGACGAGGGAACTCCATAAACAGATAGATAAAAAGAATCAGAACTTCTAGAGACAAAAAATATGATGTAGGAAATTAAAACCTCCCTTGAAAGAATTAACAGCAGATTAGACCTTATGAAATAAAGAATCTCTAACCTTGAAGACAAAAACCTCCAATTTAATCCGAACAGTGGAAAAGAATGGAAGACTAATCATTAAAAATAAGGACAAAATATGCAAAATCCTAGACACAATTAAACAGTCAAATATCCACAGATTAGGTATTACAGAAGGCAAAGAGACAGGTAAAAAGCATAGAAAATCTCTTCCACAATACATCAACTGAAAACTTACCAAACTTAGAGAGGCACACAGACATCCAAATCTAGGAAATACAAAGAGCCAAAGAGGTTTAATATAAGAAAATCCTGTCCAAAGCATATCATAGCCAGATTAATAAAAATAAAAGACAATATTCTAAAAATGACGAGATAAAAAGCCAAAATACTTACAAGGTTATCCCATTAGATTAATATCAGACCTCTGAACTGAAACATCCAGGCAAGGAAAAAATGGGAAGACATTTAAAACTCTGGGGTAAAAATTTTTTCAGCTAAGAGTACTATACTAGGCAAGACTATGCTTTAAATGGGAAGGAGAGAGAAAATCATTCCTGGGTAAACAAAGGCTGAAATAATTCACTAAAACAAAACCAGCTTCTCAGGAAAGACTTAAGGGAACACAACACCAGGAAAACTAAAGGGAGATAAATAGAGGTGAGAGAACACAAAACAATTAGGGGGGAAAAGTGACAAAACGACAGGGATAAGTCCAAACATAGCTGTAATAACCCTGAATGCCAGTGCCTTACATCCCCAACCGAAGGGCAGACTGATTCAGTGGATATAGGACAGGTGCCCTCTGTATGCTGCTCACACGATACACAACTCATTGGCAAAGATTTACACAGACTAAACACTCTGGAACGTAACAGTTGTAGTTTCAGCAGTTTATTGAACAGTAATGTGCTTTGAACCTGGCTTCAGTGATCGAAAACCACAGCCGTTTTTTAAATGCATGAATGATGATCACCACAAATGGATAAAAGCCCCCTTATTACATAACTACGTATTTCTCACCTTTAGTTTCTCAGAATGATTAGGATTGTTTGAATTGTAAATGTTTGTATACCTCTGTGACACCCCTGCCTATTTTCTCTCTTGATTTAATCAAAGTGTTAACCAAAGTGACCGTCACAACTAAGTATGCTTTTTGGTAAACCATAAATATGACAGAACAAATGAACAGACAAAAAACAAATGAGCGCTTTGTAAGTGAAAGTGTCTGCATGCTAAAATTCAGATTCACTATTTTAAACCCAGTCAAGTTAAGTGTAAATTCACCAGTTATCTGATAGACAGTTGTCTGCACAGGTTTCATACTGCATTTATATATTTGTTATTAAACCATTACTCACCACATAAAACTAGGTAACAGAGCAAAGTCCAAAATGTTACAAGTAGCTGAGTCCGCCTTGTGATGAATTTTAAAAAGGCTAAAATCAAGAATTTTGTAAAGCCTGTAAGTCACCGAATCACTGATTTTATCATAACTTTACTTTTAAACATCTCTTTCCAGTTTTGTTTTGTTTTTGCCTTTTCAAGGATGCTTCTTTATGTACAAAACAGTACTATGGTCTTACAAGAACTCACAGTGACTGGATAAAAGTCTTCTTTTCTATCTCTTGCTAATGAGCTGTTGTTATGTACAGTTTTACCTCTCTACTGGACCAATGGTGATACCACAGACCCTCTCAGATTATAAGCGCTTATCTTCCACAATCCTTTACATGGAAATTATGAATTCTCTTTTCATTGGCGATGTTAAGATTATCTTTGTTTTAAAAAAATCCATCCTCATTACTTTATGAGATTTTTTGTTGTCTTATTTATATTTTTAAGTTAATTTTCATTTCTTTCATATATTCCACCATTATACATAATTTAGCTTGTGAAGTGAATTTTCCCAACATAAATCCACTTCACACTAGTCGAGCTGAGGACTATGCACATTATCATCAACAGATAATAGTCCATTTCTGTGTTCCATAAATGTCTTACCTCTCTGTTTTTCTCCTTAATGTCTTTATTCACACTCTCTCCAGAGGTGAGAGAACACAAAACAATTAGGGGGGAAAAGTGACAAAACGACAGGGATAAGTCCAAACATAGCTGTAATAACCCTGAATGCCAGTGCCTTACATCCCCAACCGAAGGGCAGACTGATTCAGTGGATATAGGACAGGTGCCCTCTGTATGCTGCTCACACGATACACAACTCATTGGCAAAGATTTACACAGACTAAACACTCTGGAACGTAACAGTTGTAGTTTCAGCAGTTTATTGAACAGTAATGTGCTTTGAACCTGGCTTCAGTGATCGAAAACCACAGCCGTTTTTTAAATGCATGAATGATGATCACCACAAATGGATAAAAGCCCCCTTATTACATAACTACGTATTTCTCACCTTTAGTTTCTCAGAATGATTAGGATTGTTTGAATTGTAAATGTTTGTATACCTCTGTGACACCCCTGCCTATTTTCTCTCTTGATTTAATCAAAGTGTTAACCAAAGTGACCGTCACAACTAAGTATGCTTTTTGGTAAACCATAAATATGACAGAACAAATGAACAGACAAAAAACAAATGAGCGCTTTGTAAGTGAAAGTGTCTGCATGCTAAAATTCAGATTCACTATTTTAAACCCAGTCAAGTTAAGTGTAAATTCACCAGTTATCTGATAGACAGTTGTCTGCACAGGTTTCATACTGCATTTATATATTTGTTATTAAACCATTACTCACCACATAAAACTAGGTAACAGAGCAAAGTCCAAAATGTTACAAGTAGCTGAGTCCGCCTTGTGATGAATTTTAAAAAGGCTAAAATCAAGAATTTTGTAAAGCCTGTAAGTCACCGAATCACTGATTTTATCATAACTTTACTTTTAAACATCTCTTTCCAGTTTTGTTTTGTTTTTGCCTTTTCAAGGATGCTTCTTTATGTACAAAACAGTACTATGGTCTTACAAGAACTCACAGTGACTGGATAAAAGTCTTCTTTTCTATCTCTTGCTAATGAGCTGTTGTTATGTACAGTTTTACCTCTCTACTGGACCAATGGTGATACCACAGACCCTCTCAGATTATAAGCGCTTATCTTCCACAATCCTTTACATGGAAATTATGAATTCTCTTTTCATTGGCGATGTTAAGATTATCTTTGTTTTAAAAAAATCCATCCTCATTACTTTATGAGATTTTTTGTTGTCTTATTTATATTTTTAAGTTAATTTTCATTTCTTTCATATATTCCACCATTATACATAATTTAGCTTGTGAAGTGAATTTTCCCAACATAAATCCACTTCACACTAGTCGAGCTGAGGACTATGCACATTATCATCAACAGATAATAGTCCATTTCTGTGTTCCATAAATGTCTTACCTCTCTGTTTTTCTCCTTAATGTCTTTATTCACACTCTCTCCCTTCTCCTACCCTCTTTCCAGTATCCATAACCTTTTTCATGCTTCTATGTCCTCTAGTCCTCCAGTTTCCACCACAGAGTGAGGACAGTCAG